TCTATAGTTATCAATATAATATTCTATGCTCAAATATCAACTTTGTATGAACTTCTAAGGTGGATTAAGGTCTGACTTCATAAAATATTGATAGAAAATGGTTACTCCAGTAGGAATTCCATCTCTGAAACATTGTATTCACTTTGTTTAAGGTTCAATTGGAGTTCAGTAGGAGTCCAGTAGGAGTCCAGTAGGAGTCCAGTAGGAGTCCAGTAGGAGTCCAATAGGAGTCCAGTAGGAGGGGAATGTGAAAATGCTTTTTTGGAAAGAATGTTGAAATCCAGTAGGAATCCGGTAGGAATCCAGTAGGAATCCGGGAGTCCAGTAGGAGTCCGGTAGGAATAGGTGGAGGAGTGATAAGTATTGCGCATGTGCACTTTTAGTCTACTGAACTGGGTATGTTCAAAGACTCTTATATCATTGCAACTTGTATATAGTGTATGTACAGAGAAGACCATTTTAACGGTAAAATCACGAAAATCAGATTTTATACGGTTGAATACTTTTCACCTGTATCACCGACGATCCTTTGGTCCCTCCACACATCCTCCGAGACGCCTTCTTCCTCTTTGCCACACTCCTTGCAGTCCCTTTCAGCTCATACACATCCCCATTCACCACCATCCTTTCAACCATTTTCCAAACCATCTTCTCCATCTTCCTCCAACAAATATCAATCCCCCTCCTCCCCATCACCCTCAGCCCACTGTTTAGCCATCCTACAGGGGAAGATGCCTCGTTCAGACGAGTGTGGTGGCTCGCAGTCATGTCGTCCATGTCTCGCTACCCTGCAGATGGATACGAAATGGCAGGGAGCGAGAAGGACCTGGGGGCTGGGGGAGACAAAGATCAAAGAGGGACTCATCGTCAGCTGACACATTGACTATGAGCTGTACCTCCCTTGCCCTGTGTTTTTCACTTTCCGATCACCAGCACTGGCAGTCATTCCCGTTGTCCTGCTTATCACTTATCCCTTTGGTTGTATCAACCCTCCCCCTCCGCTATCGCCATCACTGCCTTTTGGTCTTGTCTTTTTTTTCCTCGGTCGTCTGCCACCCCTTCTTGGGAAAGTACGTTGTCGAATGCGAATAGACACATCCGCCACCCCTTAGGAAAGTACGTCGTCAAATGCGAATAGACACATTGGTGGGCACCGAATTTGCACGAGGAGAGGAGGAAGTGTGTGCAAACGTTCTTGCCCCTGTGTTCACAAGGGGTTAGCTCATAAAGCCTGCACACTCTGCTCCATGCACGCACCCTGCATGGTATGCCATTACCGATGTGGACATTCGATTCTGAGCAACCAACATCGTTGTCTAGAACATTCAAGGCGTGGATCTTGGCCTTGCCTTTACCCCGCCTCGCCATCGATTTCTTTTTGTGCAACGTCCCAGTTGCCGTGTTCATGTACTGAAATACTGTAACAGGGGCAGAGACAGACGGGGGATCAATGCCGGACAACAAGCCTATGAACAGACCTGATGGGGGAAGCACGAATGGAGGTTGTTAATTCTGAGAGGGAGGGAGACATCACCTGTTCTTCAAGGATGAGGAGGGAGTGTTGCCTTCATTTTCATGGTTGTCAATTTGACATAGCTTTAACTGACATAGCATTATGCTCCCGTTCGTATCTAGTCTGTGTCTGAATTAATAATAACAATATCCTCATCTCTGGGTTCAGCCTTGATCTGTAAGGGCTCAGAAGTTTTGCGCCGCTTTGCTTGAGGTTTCTCCATTCCCCTGCGCTCTCGCTTTCCAGGAACTTTTCCTCCATATGCATCCTCAACTTCATGCCTAAATGACTTCCAAAGACCCTCCTTAGAAAATCCTGCCTCGATGTAACGCTTTTTCTGATCTTTCGTGGCTGCTTCCCAAATACTTGAATGGGTGTTCCATGTTGCCTTTGAGCCAGGATATTTTGAGCCAAAGGCTGACTCGAACCGAGAATGAATGGGGCCCATCATGGTCGACATTTGCTTGAACCCTTCTGCCATTGATGCAACATACTTTAAAGGCCAAGCTGCATGGCCCGAACTTGCCTTTTCAGCAAGTACATCTTCGTCTTCAGAATTGGTGTCCTGCGTAGTATCGGCTCAATATTTTCGCTTCATCGGAATTGGTCCTGATCGGGCAGGTTTGACTTTTGGTGGTGGTGTCACTACTTCTTTTTTTATGCAAAAGGCAGCTGGAGGTGATGGCATATCAGAATCAGAATCAATCAGGTCGATTACATCCTGTTCTTCAAGTTTAGCTTTTGGTGGAGGGCCTTTGGCAGTGTCTGGACAAACACGACGATCAACTCGGGGAGTTTGAAGAAGTAAGTCGACAGGCCGCTTCCGGGACTTTCCACGATCAAGGATCTTCTTTACCTTCAATTCCATGTCAGTTCCAGATTTGACACCACAAGCACAATAGAGAAGACAAGGCAGCGAGCCGATATCTCTGGGAGTTGAAGGCCCATGCGACGCCCATCGTCCTTGTTCGGGGTCGAAAGTTTCAATCAATCTACCATCGTCAGGAACCCCCATCTCTTCCCGGAGGACAGCCACACAAGACTTGAGATCAAACACAGGGAAACACGGACATGGGACAGTAAAGGCCTCAGGCTCTTGATCATTCTAAAGGTCATTCATAAGCTTATAAAAAACATGATTCATGGTCACAGAGAATAACGACAAACCTTCCAATACAAGATAGTTACAGTTCGCTTCAAGGCATCCACAGCAATCTTCTGCTGGGTCAACTGGTTTTTCCAAGTCTCCCAATCCTTCTGTGTGCGATCCTGGGCATCATAGTGTTCCTGTCGTAGGGGACGATTGAGATTGGCTTCATCGTTCCCAGCCGCAGTCGGAGTATCCAGGGACAGTTCAGCATGAGAAGGAGTCGCTCCAACTCCAAGAGTGACAGGTGGCGGATGTTGTGCACATAGCCTCCCGATAGCGCTTTGATATGCAGGGCAACATTTTTTGCAGAACTCGAAGGCACATGTGACACAGTTCCGGACAGGTTCTTTTGCTGGTTGTGACCGACAAATGGGGACTGGTAGCTGCCAATTACATGATGTAATTATGGCAGCTGCCATAAAAAAACTTGATCAGCTACCGTGAATGGATGAAATGCAAAGTTTTCATTCATTCACGGCACCTGTTTCATTTGAAATAATCTATTCTGTTTCATTCATTACCGGCAACTGTTTCATTTTTTTTCATTCATTGCCGTGGAGAATGAAATCGTTTTTGTTTCATTCCATTTCATTTCAATTCTTTCTTCATTTCTACCAGGAAGAATGAAATTTATTCTGTTTCATTTATTCTTGGCAACTATTTCATTCCTTGTTTCATTTTTTGTTTCATTCTTACCATGGAATTTTCATTTCATTCTTTTCAGGGAGTTATTTCATTTTTGTTTCAATCTTTCAGGCAACAATTTCGATGTTTTAATACACACCTAAATAAGGAAATAATATACAATTATGCCTGATATGTGTTGTGCCCTACTGCAGTGGTGTGGGAGGCCATATGGGAGTACTTTTGCATTTGAGGCTCAAATACATAACAAGATAGGCATACTGTTGCCAAATAAGGCACTTTAATATTTTACATCAATTACATAATAATTTTCCCAGCTCTAACAATAAAGGAATGAATGAAACAGTTGCCGTGGTGGAATGAAATGAAAAATGAAGTAATTTCTGTGAATCAATGAAATGAAATGAATGAAACAGTTGCCGTGAATCAATGAAACAGAATGAATCATTTTGAATGAAATGGGTGCTGTGAATCAATGAAATTTCATTTCATTCCCTCACGGTAGCTGATCAAGTTTTGCCATGGCAGCTGCCATAAATACATTGATGTAGAGTGCAGCTACTAGTGAAATGGGTCCATTACAAGCAGTAACAGCTTTCCCCTTTTTAATAACTGCACGCGTATGGGGTTGTCCATCATTATCAGCTTTCGGCATGATGCTGACCGTAGAATTGACATCACCAGCCTGGACCTCACTGGCAGGGGCGTCGAAGTCAGGAGCAACAGAAGAGTCCCAAGTAGGATCAACAGGAACAGGAGGTACGTCAGCACCTGCATCAAGAGCTGGCAGCCCTAGCTGTAAGAATTGACCAAACTGTGCTGGACCTGACCACTGATTTCTATTGCGTCTGGCATGGATGTCTCCAGTTGCCCAAAAGCAAAAGTTATGCAGGACCTTATTCTATTCCAAAAATGTGTCGAGAATTTGTTCTTCATTGCTTTGGGTCATTATATAATAACCCTAGTGTAGGTTTTATTTCATTTCTCGGGGTCAATTGTTTTCCACACGGCTCAACCATCAAAATGATATTTCCGCGCAGCTATTTTTAGGCATTTGGCATATTACCCTGCCAAATCCTCTTCCCATGTTACGGTGGCTTGTATTGATTGATTTCAATTGTCCGAAATTGGGCAGATATGTTGTTGCCCAGCCGTTGGCCTGTTCCTAGCTGTTCCTGCCATCAGTCTTTGTTCTCTGTGGTGCTATTTTGGGCTGGCACTCCATCCTTCCATCAAATGTCTCTAGCTGCATCAACGGCACCTGTCGTGGCTAGTTCTCGTTGTCAGAATCCACGTTAGTATGTTTTCCTAGAAAGTTATCATACAAACTTCAAGAAATTGAAAAAGATCAGCCACTACAAGAAAGAGGCCCAAGCTTAAGAAGCCGGCAAGAAAGAGGAAGAGATCAGAAAATCAAGGGCCGAACACTCGTTGTAGAGAAACAGGCAATTGCGTGAGCACGCGATGTGGAACAGGAGGCCTAGTGCCTGCGCTTGCGCGAGCTGTTGGTAGAAACTGACATAGATGGGGCACGCGCGTGTGAAGTGCTGGTTGGGATTGACGATGGCGAACTATGAAGTAAAGCAAGATATATGAGCTTCTAAAGGCAGTAATTGATGTAAAACACGAACCTGTTTCCCATCAGACCAGCGAGCACCCATCCCATCGCGCTCTTTGGTCACGGGCATAACACACTTTTCAGCAGTGAGTGATTCCTTTTGGTAATACTGGGACGAATGAATTTCCTTAGCATAGGTCTTAAGTCTTTTGTCACTCTCATAAGCAGAAATCAGAGTCTTAGTTTCAGCCAGCATAACTAAGTACTCTCTATCTGCCTCTTCTTCTTTGTCCCATACTACATGAATCTTATGGACATTTTGGAGCACGTTCCATTTACCGTAGTGAGGGCAATCCCTATGGAAATGCTTGGGGCTAGTGCAAATATAGCAGTCTCCATTGGGTTCTCGCAGGCTGACCTTGGAGTCGTCCCTCTCGAAAGTAATCCCGTTTACCATCTTACCATGCGGAAATTCTGGTTTAGCAAGAGCAGGCTTATGCCCCCCAGAACGTGGCAGCAGTCTATGATTGTTATTGGAAGCGAAGTTGACATCTTGCTCCAGATTCCCCTCTTCATCAGATGAGTAGGATTCTATCTGGACTCCTTGTTCAATCGGTTCAACCTCTGCTGCATGCGCAGCGTGCGGATGGTTGTTTCTAAAGAATGGCACAGGCTTTCTATTATGTTCAGCCTGCTGCCAGGAAGCCAGCAAGCCATTTTGCATTCATTTGGCTACACCCTGAGTAGCCAGTATGGTGAGGCAAAGTGTTTCGCTCAGGTATTGCGTCCATTCTACAGGTTGTCAACGTAAGACACGAGCGACGGCGGTGGGACCATCCTCTTCATCTGGATGCAAGAAATGGTGATGCCGGATGTGACGTTGAATGTATTCCAATGGGCTTTCTTGTTCATGGCCTTTGTTTCAGAAAGTCATCTCATCAAACTCAAAGGTATGGTCTTGCACCCATTCTTCATCTAGGAAGTGGGCTCGTATTCCTATCATCATATTGTCCCAGTTGTGGGCAAAGTAGGTTTAATCAGGAGTCAGTAACGTCTCCCACCAGCTTTGCACATACGAGGTCCACTTGAATGGAGCCAATTGAGCGATTCCCTCCTTCATTTTTGGGCTTAGGGCAGCTAGGAATCCCATTTCACTTAGGTAGTTGATGGCCGTATCTCCAGCACCGTTCCATTCGGGCAGCACGGTTATGTTTAACTTGCAATTTAGCTGCCATTCCTCTGGTAATCGCCACCACAGGGAGAAACTAGGGTTCAGAGACTCGGGATGGCCTCCTCCTCCTCCTCCTCCTCCTCCTCCTCCACCGTGGTCACTGCCTCCTCCGCCTCCCCCATTCCCTCTGGGAGGGATGTACCAAGAGGCAGGCAGGATATTACTCCTTCTCTTAGCATCACCACTGTTCTCAGAGGGAGTTGACCCACCCAAAGGAGGCCCCCCACTTCGTTGACCAGGGGTTCTTTCATGATTGCAATCCTTGTTGGTTCGACCAGCAGATCTAGTTGTGGACTGATCACCCCTGTTTCAAAAGACGTAACTGGTCCAGGATTTAGGGCTTGGTATGTGTGTGCTAGATGCTGCAGGCACCCTTTGTTGACTTTTGTTAGCACCTGAGTTAATGGTGTTGCAATTGTTTGGTAACAGAACTAAAATAAACAAACAAAGGACCAGATTCCATTACATTCTGTTCCTGTGCATTCCACAGATCATTCCAGTGTCAATTCTGGAATGCCCAAATTCTGCCAGAATGGTAAGGCACCAGAATGATGAAGATAGCAGGCCTCCCTGCCAAATTTCATTCCTCCAGAATCCACTGGAATCCACCAGAATGACAAGATTCCTGCAGGAATTAGGGGGGCACTGATAAGACCTCTCATTGCCTGCTGCAATTCACCAGTCTTTGTTGATATCTGGCCAATCAATTGGCCGAGTAGCTTCTGAGGGTCCATCTACCCTGACTACCAATCAAAAGGAAGCACTTCTTACATTCCTGAACATCTCTATGGATCTGCATTCACTCACTCCTACCCTTTGCAACATTTATCTGAAGTACAAAGCATTGATAAATGCATCCAAAACCATGCATGAGTGGGCTGACCATCTTACTGAACATGGTCTTGAACACTGATTTCCTGTCTTCATTGACTTGGTGAATGTCTTCATCGCAAAAGGTGAATTTTACTCCAGCTGGAAGGCACTATTCAACCATGCCCATTATCCACAGATAAAAGCATGGCTTGATGCCAGCTCAGATGCTGAATCTGATTCAGAAGTTCAGGCTGAGACCAAAGATCCTGATCATTACACTATTGTGGACTTGGCAGAATGGCTCAAAAGAAAAGATGTGGCCAAGGGAAAGAGGTCGGCTGCTACTAGCTCATGTGCTGGAAAGAAGTCAGGTTGTAAACAGGAGAAAAGGAAGAAGGAGAGGAAGGTGTCTTCGGAGGAATCAGATGAGTCATCTGGAGGGAAAAAGTTGAAGTTGAAGTTGAAGGCAAAGGCAAAGTTGAAGAAGAATTCACCTGTGTAAGTTTCTATCCTATGAACCATTACTTTGATATGTAAATTGTGAAATTTTGTAATTGTAGCTCTGTTTGGACTCAGACTTTTCTTGTAGCTCTTTCTTGGTTGACTCACTTTGGTCTCATGACTTTCTTTGTATTGAGTCAACATTGGATTATAATCTGGCTTTTGATATGGTTTCAGATGGCATCATTAGTGCATGGTGCACAAACTGAAACCCCATTCCCAGATATATATTTTTCTGCATTTAATCGAATTATTGAATCAACCTTTGGATCTAACATCTCTTTGGCAACTGTCTTGACCCTTTTGTTCACAATCACAGAAAATGTACACTTGTTGAATCTCCATTTTCGACAACAACACCCAGAATTCCAAGGTGAAAACAAGACTCAGACCACTGGATGGATGATTGCTTTAGCTAGGGCATTGATTGATCAATTGGGCTCCACAGCTATTTCTTTATATAATGATGAAGATAAAGATGATTCAACCTCCCAGGCCAAGGTCAAGCTGCTTGCGGGAAAGCTGAATGATATGGCTGTCAATTTGAATTTAACACCATATGATGACCAAGATGCTTACATGGTAAAGCTACTTCCCATTTCCCTGAAAGCTATTCAGCCTGTTCATATGATATGTCCTGGATCACTAGTGTGTGGAACAGCAACATGTAAACCCAGATCACTACTCAGTAACATTAATTAAAGATCACAAAATCTATAAAAAGGTTTCAGTTTTGACAGCAAAATGTCCAGATTGTGAAACATCTTATTCTGCAGATCATGAACACTTTTTTCATGAGTTTGATGGAGCTAAGCAACCAAAGCAAGTTTATCTTAACTCAGCAAAGTATCTGAAAATTGGCAGTAATCTATGGGTGGATCGATTGTTTTCAAGCTCTGTGATCAATGCAATGTATAGCTTCCATGCCTCTGCTTCTTCATATTCACAATATTGGAATGTTACCTATGGGACAAAGTCAACAAATCTATCCCATGCTCACATTTGGCAGGTCTTTGTACAAGATCCTTTGCACACAATTGCAGCAGAATCCAAGATTGACTTAGAGCTCAATGATCCTTGAACATAACAGAAGTCACTATACAGGCATTTGATCTTTTAGGAGAACAGGGAATTATCAGAGCAGCAGATCAGCATGCATGCAGTGAATGTAGTCAGCTATATAAAAAAGCCAGTGATGCTATTATGAATGATCCTGCAGCTGTAGTGGTCGTTGACAAAAATCAAGCTGTACCACCCTTGGCAGAAGATAACAGAGTCCCACCACAACCACACCCAGCTTCTCCTACCTCTCAGGATAACTCTGATGATGATGTGGATGTTGACAAAAGAAATGTTACAGTGGTTGTACTTGATGGAGTTGTTATGGGACCAATGGTAAATCATTTAAAGGTTATTCTGACTATAATAATTACTAACTTGACATTTATAGCATTGTGCAATTGATGATTGTGTAAATGATCTTTCAAATTCTCATGGTGCCTCATTGTGTGATGTGCACAATGAAGAATATGGGTCCTGATGCCTTGTGCATGACTGTACAAACAACAGATTTAGAGACACCTCTGCATGTGAAGCACATCAGGCAGAGTGGCAAAAATTTACAAAATATCAAATATGTCAAACTTGTTCAGGTATTCGGAGAATGTTACAAAGGCCTGGGGAAGCTCAACCTTGGAATCCATGAAGAAGAGGACCAAACCCACAGTGCCATGATGATGCTAATGAGGAACCACCTTTACCTCCTAACTATTTTAGTCCAGCATGACTCTACTGTGTGGAAACTATTTGTGCACCATGTGGTGTTGTAATCACATGGACAAAGGTCTGAGTCAACAACAAATATTTTATGCTTTTTAGAGGCCGTTTATCCAACCCCAGAATCTTGCCCTGACTATATCTATATTGACAAAGCATGTCAAGTTCTTCAAACTGCTGTTAACAACAGAAGTTGGGATGCAATATGGAAACACACAACAAGATTTATTGTTGATACTTTCCACTCTATTACCCATCATGTAACTGATTTTCTTTGCCAAACATATTGCAATCCTTCTCCTGGTGATGGTTCAGCTCCAAACCTTGTCATCATTGAATGCATGGCTTGGTGGATTTGAGCCAATTCTCAAATGCATGAAACCTGGAAATTTCAACTGGTTTTTACATGCAATGTTGTTTTATCACACAAAACATGTCCTCACTCAACAGAAGCACAAAGCAAAGTCTCAGGAGATCAATGGTGATGATGATGACTTGGGTTTGGATGAACAACATGCAGAATCTAATGTCTCTGAATCTGATTGAAATAAATAAATCCATGTAGTAGTAAGACACTAGTCAAATGCCTTATGCCCTTGTTTAGTAAAAGATTTAGTGTTACAATTCTATTTGTCTGACTTAAAGGAGATTCAGGGTCAAAAATTAATTAACCAGAAGTCGTAGTGTGCAATTTCTGTTGATTCCAGTTGGATTCCAGTTGGATTCCTGTTGATTCCAGTTGGATTCCTGTGGATTCTGGCCAGAATCCTGCAGAATTCCAGGAATCCTACTGGAATTCCAGGATTCTGCAGATTCCAGTAGGAATCAGTGGAGGAATGGAAAGTATTGACTTGAAGCACTGAGCATGTACCTGTGGTGATAAGTGTTTTAAGGTGTTAGTGTGTGTGTGTGTGTTGTTTAGGTGTTCACGCATCTTGTCAGCATGTCTGATTGCACTTTCCTCACTCCCACGCACTGCAGTCTTCTCAGTGTTCTATCCACTGGGTGTCATGTCTTGTCTGTGGGTGGTGAATGTGGGCGCTGGGGTCAAGTTGGCATGGTCATGTCGCCATTGGTGGGCGGTGGCAATCATGGATGGTGGGGGTGGCACGTCGTTGTTACCTGGAGGGTGGTGGGCGGTCGTGGATCATGGTGCTGCATTGTTTTCATTGTCTGTTTATTTGCCACGTCACTGCCAGTGATGTGGCACCTGGTAAGAAATGGAGAGCGAGGGGGCTGCAATGGATGCGGATGGCGTTGAGTGAAGGGGATCATGGTGGTCATGACAAGTGGTGGTGGTGACGGGTGTGTTTGGCAGCAGTGACGAGCATGGTGGTGGTGGGAGGAAGAGGGTGGTCATGTTTGGTGAGCATGATTGCAAAACAGATATTGTTTGTTAACCATCTCAAATAAATAAAATAAACAAATTGCAGTGGAATTCTGTTCCTGCACATTCCAGGGAACCCTATTCCTGCCCATTCTGGGGAAAACCATTCTGGTGTAAATTCCAGAATAATCAGATGCCACTGGAATGGGAAAACACAGGAATGACAAATTTAGCAGGGCTTACTGCTAAATTTCATTCCACTGGAATGACCGGAATCCTGCAGGAATAGGGGGGGCACTGCTAAGACCTCCTGAAATCCCAGCTCTGAAATGTCTTCACTTTGACTTCTTTATTCCACTACCTTCGACTCCTTTATTTCACCAATTTCCCCCATATTTCATAATTACATTACATACATTGTTATTATTGCTTCACTACCTCCCCATATATCCTTTACTTCTCTAGCTATATATATCCACAATGATGAAAATAGCCAGCTGCATGGTCTGAAGTAATTGAAAAGACAGCATCAAAAAGATGAAGATACACATAGGTATCATCAACATTCTGGTCAAGATCCTCATGGCCCAGAATGCCCTGGCATCTAGCGAAGGCCTTGATTGCAGAAAAGGCCAGTTCAATGGGATTAAAATCAGGTGAATAAGGAGGGAGGAAAAGAACCAACATTCCCCTTCATCAAATTTTTAGCAAGTCAATTGGTACACTTGAGTCAGATAACTCACCGGACCTCAATCATCTCAATAACCTCTGGATTTTTATGAATCCTGGCATTGTCCATCACAATGGCTGAGTTTGGAGCAGGGAAAGGCTGCATATGTTCCAAAAGTTCTCTGATGAACTGCTGGAAGAGAAGGGCAGTGAATGACCCTTCAACCATCTTTGCCCTGTGTGAGGTAGCCTCACAGGCTGAGGCTGGAATGCATGTATTGTGGAGCCTCATGTTTCTTCCTTCCACTTCGAGTAATTCTCTCTAGTTTACCATCTCTTTGTACTATCTACACATCATATACAACAGTTTACCAAGATTACGAGCCCAAGAAACCACTACAAGAAATTGATACTACCATGAATCCTACTTGCATCCTTTCCCCTTTCCCTTCAAACTCACAGAGTGCATATCACTCACACCAGAGCATTCCATCAAGAGAGAGGGCAGGTAATAAGGAGTACCTTGAGAATTTTTTGAGCACCTCTGCCTTGCTAATTGAGAAAGACTTACCTTCGCCCATGGATGAAAAAGGTCTTGCAGATAGCCTGCTCACTGGACAGTGCCCAAGCCTTTCCATGAACCAAAGTTCACCAATCAAATGAGCTTTCATCTACAAAAACAGTCTGCTCTGGGGTCACTTCAGTCACCCACTGACAACTGACTATTAGTCTTGCAAACTCCATGAATACTACAGGACTAAATGTCAGGGTGTATATCTATATTGTATATATTCTGGGCTTGTATATCTCCACTTTTACCTAAATATATTTTGTTATCCAATGTCACACTAAATATATTTCTAGTGTGTCACACACCCCGGGATATATTTCCTCACTGGAATGGACTCCAGATATATTTCCTATGGCTGGACCCTGAATTGTGACTGTCGACTGTCACAATGTAGAAATATATTTCTTGTCTGGGATGGACTTGGGATATATTTTGCAGCTAGGGTTGACTAAGGATATATTTCTTCAGCCACAAGGGGTGTCTGGTGTTCTATATTTAAGAGAAAAACTTGGGATTATTTTAATATAGAGGGATAGGGGATTTACCTATTATTTTGTAGGCAGAATACCCTCATTGGGATGTTTGTTGACAGATATTTACCAATAGGTTTGACCCATGTGTAGTATATGCATTGATGTGTGCACTATTTCCTAATTGGGCGACTTCCTAATTGGGAAAAGCATTACACTTTTTTCTGACAGACCTGATGTCAGGCACAGTGCGCATTTGGGTGAGGAATTATTTCCCATGCTTTTTGGGCCAGAAGAGTTAATGGCTAGCATGGTGTGGTCAGTGTTGATGATGATGTGTGCACTATTTCCTAATTGGGCCATTTCCTAATTAAGAAAAGCATTACACTTTTTTCTGACAGACCTGATGTCAGGCACAGTGCCCATTTGGGTGGGGAATTATTTTCATTACAACACTTTGTAGTGTCCGCTTTATTCATTAGAAAATTGTGTAGTGTCCGATTTTTTCATTAAAACACTTTGTAGTGTCCGCTTTTTTCATAAAACACTTTGTAGTGTCCGCTTTGTTCATTAGGGACGTTCAAAGCTGGGCGCAGCTCGCAGACGTATCTTGCAGCACACATAAGAATTAGCTTATATAAAATTGTTTTCATAGTCCGCTGTGACTCCTTCGTGACAAACACGCTCGACGCGTCTTTTTTCTTGTACTTACGACAACACTCCCACACACTCCTTTACCCATTGCTATCCCTATTATCTATTGGCTATCATGATGCATGCTGCCACTTCCAGGGCTGACAAGGCTGAGAAACCTCGCATTCCCAAAATAAACTGGTCAGCAAATAATTCCGCCACCATCTGGACCCTTCTGGCCAAGATTGAGAAGAGCGAAAACTATCGCGTTCTTTATGGGAAAAAGGATGTGGCCGAGGTGAGTTTTCCCATACCTTCATCTTATGGCTGTCTAACATGGCCTGTTCACAGAATACGAGTGGTGAAACAAAGGAGGGCTTTATTGTCCCCCACAGATTCCTGCAGGATTCCTGAGGATTCCTGAGGATTCTTGCACAGTCCCAGGACTGAGTATTGGCTGATGTACCAGCCAATTTTTTCAGTCCTGTGGGGGTCCATTCCTGAGGACTGAAGACAGTCCTGAGGATTTTCAGACAGGACTAGTCCCAGGATTGATGCATGTGATGAGTCACATGACCCACAAACATGTGCTTGGAATGCATCACGTGATGTGATGCATCCCGTGCACATGTTTGTTGATGATAGTTCTCATATGTGACACGTCACGTCACATCTCTCTTTCATCACCACCCACCACCACCTCACCCACGACAACGACAACGACGACCACATCAACACCCACAACCCCATCGACATCAACAACGACAACGACAACAGTGGTGGTGCCCAGCAAACGGCGCCACCACCAAATGGCTGACGTGGCACGCCCCATCCGGGTGTGCCACATCGACGGTGATTTTCTCAACGACGAACGCCCATGACCCTACGACGAGGGACAACAACCCCACCACCACCACACACCACCATGACAGCCCACCCACCGACGCCGATCAGCCATAGATGTAGTCCTAGCCCTACAAGGTGTGCAATTGCCTTGCACACCATTTGCCAATTGATGTGCAATGTCCTTTGCCTAATGTTGCTTGCATTCCGCTCGCCTTTAAAATTCGCCGCGCGGGGCGAAATTTTGGTTTTTTCGGGTGAAATATCAATATTTGGCATCACATATAATTGATTCAGGATTGATATTGCTTCCTCCCATCAATTCCTTGCGTTGATATGATTTCCGTGTGTTACCCTTCCTTCCATCCATCAATAATCTATTTTTGTTCATCTTCATATGATTTCCGAGCTTCTATCCATCAATTGTCCACTTCTGCTATGATTTCTCCCTGTCAATGTCATCTCCATCCATCAATTTGTGTGTCAGGTGGTCAAATTACCCTTCACTGCCGTTTCCATGCATCAATCTTGTTACCTAAACGCTCCCTCGTTGGCATCTGCATCAAATATGATTTCCGTCACTTGGACAAATCAAACAGTGCCAATGTCTCATGTTTTTCTGCCGTTTGTATGTTTTTTTTTCCTTCCTCCGTGTTTTACAAACTGTATAAGCCTCTCTTTGCTGCAACATAGAATTCAAAATCAAGAAATCTGCCGAATACATCAAACAGTTGACCGCCACTCTTCACGATCACCCAACACGTGTCAATCTCTCATCGAAGTCAGCGCGTGTGCTGATGAACGCAACTTCAACGCAACAACGCGTCTGGTCACGTGCTTGTTCAACCTCATCGTTTACACTTAGTTCTGCAGGAGGGAGGCGGATTAGTCTACGTAGTCTATGTTCTTCAACACTCCTCAACCATTTTACAGACAAGAAACATAAATTACTACAAGAAATACAAGAAATACAAGAAATACAAGACACAAACAGTACAGAACGAGACAAGAAATACACAATGAGAGCCTACGAACACATTTTCAGGACCCTAACTACCATGGCAGATCAACATCATATAGAATAGCTATTTGCGTCGCTGCTTTGTGGTTGGTGTTGTGGCTGCTGATGGCGAGGCGCGCTCAGCGCCCTGAGGTTTCGGGAGGCTGGACGGCGTGTGAGTTAATGTCAGAGGAAATATAGCAAAACATACCTGGTAGTAGAGACGAGATTGACGAGAACCCAGTGAACATCGGCCACCGCAGCCGTCCAACCCGCACTCTCTCCTTGGCGGCCATTCAAAGCTGCGCCCCACCACACCAAGCAGGATAGAACGGTCAAAAACTCGTTCTGGCCATGCTTATCGATGCTTGCCCACCCACCCTCACCATTGGCCACTTCATGGTGTGTGGCCGTCAGTGGACCTTCCACCTCAGCGACGGACCGCCAATTCAGCTGGAGGCCCTTCCACCAGTTCCACCAACCCACTTCAAACAATGGGATGCTCTTGATTGGTGGCGCTGACTTGCGGCCACGACCAACCCAATATGCCACCTCCGGCGGTCGGTTGTCGACTTTGAATCCGGCGTTCGGTGATCCAACTGCGAAGTTGGCTATTTTTTCGAAGTCCACATAGATCCGAATGGTGCTTGCTAGTTCTGCACTGAGGTAGGTTAACGATAAGCCTGTATATGCTTTCTTAAACCAGGCAGGCCAACTCGAATCAATAGGAAGTGGGGGTTTGGGAAGTGGCTGTAGTGCGACGAGGGGCGGTGGCGAAGGATGAGCAGATGGTTGGCAGATGAGTGCTGGCACTGGCATAGGCGTCGTTGATTGAGTGGGTTGGGATGGTGAGGTAGAGCCATGACCAAGGGCAGCCCTTGTTAGGCCAGACGATGGCGTGCTAGGAGGTACAAGGGGCGAACGTGACACAGGTGGTGCGCGATGAGGCGCGATGGGGGGATGAGGCCCAGCTTGTTCTCGAGCTGCTCCAGGAGCGGCTACCATTGACACATCTGTCAATGTTGAATGTTCTTCGGATGTGATGGTGATCGTATTGCGGGTCTTCAACCTGTTGCTGTGTCTCGTGGCCAACGGTTCCTCACTGTTGTCAGGACCTTCATTCGCCTGATCTTCGTTCTCTTCCTCCTCCTCGTCCCCGCCATTCTCGTCATCGCCCTCATCCTCGTCCTCTTCATCGTCATCATCAGATACTACTGGCCTTCTTCCCATCTTTTGCTTTGACGTTTCGCTTGCGCTTCCCGCCAACGTGTGTGCTTAACTCCGACTCCGAGGCCTTCGATCCGCTGGTGGGTTGAACAGAAGTGGAGCGTGTTTGAGAGGAAATGGATGACAACGCTGTTGGTTGGTCATCTTGGGAATCTTTTGGGATAGCACGTGCCCGTTGCTCCTCTGGCGCTGTAAAAACATTATATCAGTAACGTAGTCACAAAAATCTCAGTGTACATACAATAGCAAGTCTCAAGAAATGAAGTGAACGCATTTGTTACGAGTTTGAAGCCGGCCTTATCCGCGTGGCCCCAGACCTTCGGAACGGCCTGCTTGTCAACCCCGTAGTGCATGCTAGATACACGACGGCTGTTAAATGCCTTAGATCAACAGCAGACTGCACCTACGTACCTGAAGGCATTCAGCTGTCCCTGCATTTTGGGCTCCGGCCCCCCAATGAGCACCGTAATGTGCATTCCAACCGCCTTGCCCACCCCTTCTATCAACGGACCCAAAATACTTGGGAGTGCGTTGAGAACTCTGGTAAAGTTGTCAGCACTCGCACGATAGGCAAAGGAACCAAACGTACGTTTGAGCGTCGGCTGGTTCGAGCAACCTCGGCGCCGAATCCCTGTCCTTGAGGATTTGCTTCGCTTCCTCCCATTCCGAGCGAACGACTTCCGACCATTTCTCCTTTTCGTCATCACTGAGTTTTTCGAATTCTCGTCATTTGAACTGATTACATTCTTTGACGCGATTCTTCTCAAGTCCGTTTGTGGCCTCAAACTCCGTGTCAAACTCGGCTTTCAATGATTGGAAATTGTCTTTGCCCCAGGCTTCCCAAGCTGCACGGCGTTTAGGAGGGGAAGGCTCGCCGAGTAACCGTTATAGAAGGGTTGCGATCGGATCGTCCTTTTTAGCTGACTTGGATCGAGGCAAGGTGAGAGCGACTTTGTTTCGATGATTATACCACTTATAAATCGTCTAGTGATTTAAAGCATCAGCTTATCAGAGGTGGCGTTGATCGACGAAGGCTATCCATACCTTTTTCATAGCCCCAATAACTTTGCCTTTGTGAGTGGCTTCCTCAGCCGAGAGGATCTCGAACCCATCACCATCAAAGCGGACCGTCGGTAGCTCTCCTGGAAGCGATGTGTGAGGAAGAGACCAGTGAAATTTCACGAAGTAAGCATTGATGATTTTGTCGAGAGCTTGGGTGGACGAGGCATGAGACACAAGACACGCATCTCTGTAGGTATCAAGATGCGAGGCGAGGAACGCTTGACGCTCTCCCTTTGCCCAATTTTTCTGCAAGGTAAGCAGTGGCGCCAGATGATCGATACCCTGTGGCTGTACAGAAACGTTCCTGGAAAACAATCAACGACAAGAACAAAACAAGATCAAGGTTAAACCCTACGCCGACGTTCCCTGACTCTCGTCAACATTACCCGCGTCCATGGTAAACTTTTGGCTCAGAGTGGGTGGAAGGATGGGGATGCAGCTTTTCCACCTTCCCTCTGATTCTCCTGCCTTGAGGTTTTTTTTCACTGTGGGAACGAAGTCCAGAAGCGTGTCTGGCCTCGTATAAAGCTCCATCCATCACCCAAATCTCGCCATCCTTCCAACTCTATCAATCGAGTCTAACGCAATCACCTTTTTACACCGCCTTCCTCCCCATTTTTACCCTGTCCATTATGGCTCAACTGTCAGCAAATGATGTGCCGCCCTCGCCCACCAACGCCGGCACCTCGTCTCCTAACAGTTGCGCTGGTAAGTACTTTGTGACTGAACCACGCAACCCTCTTTCTTACCAATGTTGTTATTAGAAATCGCGGAACTTCTCTCTCGCCTTCAGCTGAACTCCTCGCAGCTACAAGAGCTCTTCGTGGCTCTTACCGATATCGCCACCGGTCTCAACAAGCCTACTGCTCAAGCCACGGACGACACACTCAATGTAATCAACGCCGAAGACGTGCCCCAAGACGTCTCCAGCAGCGACGAAGATACCAAACCCGCGAGTGGTTTACCAACTACCACTGCCCCATCTGCCATTGCGGCTGAGCCTACTATTGAGTCTTCCCTGGCACCATCCAACAGAGTTTGTGACACCGTGCCGGATGGACCATCCATTGTTACCACCAGTCCCTCCGCTGTCACTCCTACGGGCGCAGCCATCGTTGTGGCACCCGCGGCACCTGTCCCCATCGCAGCACCTACCACCACATCCACTACCAGGCTTTTTAACGGGATCAGCTACCAATACCCCGCTGAAGACGCTTCCGGTCCGTAATAGTATAAAAGGAGGACATGTGCAAGCTGAAATGCAAGGAATTATCCCCTGCATTGACCAGCTGTCGCACTCCCAGTAGCATCTGAGGTAGTGGATAAGTTTGTAATCAATTTAAGGACTTTTCTTTGCAGACATAAGTAACGTGTGCCCAGAACCAGTGTGTTAAGTGGGGATCACAAAGCTTTTGTAATGTTGTCTCGTCAAATAGTAAGAGAGCTCTCTACTATTATGAGGAATCCAAGTGAGCATGCTTGAAGAGTCTTTAGGACTAGTTTGGACCAAATCAGAGGCATAATAAAAGCTCAAGGGAGTTACAAAAGTCTACAAAGCACAGTTTCCTTGTCATTTCTTCATATACAGTTAGAACACAATCCCAGAACACCAAGACAGTCCCAATAAAAGCCATTTCCCTTCAAATACTACTAAGTTTCAAATTCTATACTTGTGCCCACACATAAAAACAATACCTTTTGTTCCAAAAAGGTCTACTAGACTTAGACAAGTGATATAAAATATACAAAACCATTTCCCTGAACTTCTATTTAAGTTCTAACAAAACAAGTGTGGGAATTCTATTTACCATATGAACGCAAACTTGAAGCACCGAGCACGTACCTGTGGTGATAAGTGTTTTTAAGGTGTTAGTGTGTGTGTGTTGTTTAGGTGTTCACGCATCTTGTCAGTGCGTCTGTTTGCACTTTCCTCACTCCCTCGTGCCATGGTCTTCTCACCATTCCATATGGAATAACCCCGGGAGGGTAAAGGGAGGATCTGGAGGATGATGAGGATGATATCTTGGATGTTGGAACATCTTGAAATAAGTCAAGGCAGAAGTATTATAGGTAGGTTTGGTGGGAGAAAGATTGGAATGAAGTTTTGATGGGATGGTACAATTTGAGGCTTGGTTATGTTTTGAAATAACAATAAAATTCAATTAGCTAGCTGGTAGGAAATGATCAGTACAATTAGTAGTTAGTTCACATCATTGTAGACTGGTACAATTGCAGAGGTCTTTACCCTCCCCCGCGTAATCCATATGGACTCCAGTGGACTCCAGTGGACTCCAGTGGATTCCAGTCATTCCAGTATATTATTATTTATTATATATGAATACTACTAAAAAGGTGAAAATAGACTATACAATATACAAGCTATACTTACAATTTTATTGATCAATGCACTTCAGTCACCCACTGACAACTGACTATTAGTCTTGCAAACTCCATGAATACTACAGGACTAAATGTCAGGGTGTATATCTATATTGTATATATTCTGGGCTTGTATATCTCCACTTTTACCTAAATATATTTTGTGGTCCAATGTCACACTAAACATATTTCTAGTGTGTCACACACCCCAAAATATATTTCCTATGGCTGGACCCTGAATTGTGACTGTCACAATGTAGAAATATATTTCTTGTCTGGGATGGACTTGGGATATATTTTGCAGCTAGGGTTGACTAAGGATATATTTTTTCAGCCACAAGGGGTGTCTGAACTGACATAAATCATGGTAAAGCATCTCCTGTTAACAATTATTGTCTTAAGTCCATAAAATCTGATCAACAGATGGCCATTTCTAGATTGTGTTCCCTAAGGAAGGTACATACCCTAAAAGGGATAATAACACTGATACACTACAAAAGTCAAATTATATACACACAGAATCTGGTGGAATGCAGCCCCATTCCAGAGGATTCTGGTCCATTCCTGTGGAATCCAGTGGAATGGGCCCATTCCTGCAGGAATATGTAGGGCATCATAAAGTAAAGCATGGAATCCCTTGGAATAGTCCATGGGACAGTCATGGAATGGTATGGAATCCAGAGATATAGTTGGAATGGTCCATATGAATTCCATCCTCATTCCATGGTAGGAATTTATGGAATCTACCCATTCCATGATAGGAATCCATAGAATTTACCTGTTCCATCCTCACTCCATACCATTCAATATGGACATATCAGGGAGTGTAAATTACTGATTCCATTGATTAACCCTGACCCTTTCCTGCTTCATCAATCAACTATAAATGTAACACTGTTGCCTTGTACAGGGGTGTGTGCTATTAGGCAGAGCAGGAACAGGGATTTGTTGGAGCAAGTAACAAACACAAATGAGTCAGTTTTATTAGCAGAAAGTTCAATAGCTGTTTCTCACATTTGAAGGTGATGCAGAGTGAGATGTCATGGGTTGTGTTTGACCTTGGTGGGGTGTGGTATGGAGTGGTGTTGGTGGCCATTGTTGATGTTGGTGGGGGTTGGTATGCCATTGTCAACTGTTGTTGTTGTCCATTGTCATCATTGTGGTCCATTGTCATCATTGTGATCCATTATCATTGTTGCCTGTTGTCATCGTCAATTGTTGTTGTTATTGCCTGTTGCCATTGTTGTTCAATGACAGTTCACATTCTGCAATGATTCAGCAAGTTCCGATGGTTTAGATGAGAAACAAACATTTTTGAACCATTTGTGAACTGTTTGCTGAATCATTCACCCTGGTGCTTGGAAGTCCAGTCTCAAGACTGCAAAAAGACTGCAACTGGACTGGACCAAGACTGCAAAAGACTGGACCTGCAGTCTTGGTCTTGCAGATTTGAGATTAAAAGACCGCAAAAAGACCGGTTAACGTGGACCGGTCTGGTCGGTTAAGACCGGTCTTTTGTACCTACATAATAACCCTTCAAAACGCACCTAAGATCATATTTTTAGGCCAAAAACTGACAAAGATACATATACAATAGTAAAATATTTCATGAAAATAGTAGATGTACCTTGATATTTTTGTAGATACATCAATTCTCAACGGAATTTAACGTTCTTGCACTCGTTTTGAAGCTACAAAGAATCTCAATAAATCTACCAACTCACAATTGCAAATATAATTGCATATGTAGTTGAAAAACTGGTCTTGAACCGGTTGTAACCAGTTTGGACCAAGACTGGTCCAAAGACCGAAAAAGACCGCAGTCTTGCAAAAGACCGGTCCTGGTCTGGTCTTTTGAGGTTTTAGGAATTGTGTGGACCGGTCTGGGTCTCGGTCTTTTCATTTTGGGCCAAAAAACCGGACTGGACTGGACTTTCAAGCACTAATTCACCCTGACTCCCCCTAATACTAAATATGTGAGTCCAAGTCAAAACTCTCATGGTTGCCTAATCAAGTTCACATTGATGCATCAAATCTGTTCGCCTCTGTCTCAACCATGATGCATACACCTGAACTATGGAGGTCAAAACTGAAGATGAGAAAACCTTCAATATCAAAAAGTTTGTTGTTGATATGGCTCTATGCTTTGTGCTTTTAAATAACTTACTGCAGCCTAAGGAGGAATTTGAGGACCGGAAAGGCCACCATTCAGATACTATTAAGGCCGAATTCCATCAGGATGTGAAGGCTCACTGTGCTTTAAAAGGGGAGCCAGAAGACCAGCAAGTGCTGCTTTTCTGCTGTGCTGGCTGTTACACTGTGCTAGCCTTTCTGCTGCACTGACCTTTACACTGCACTGGCCTTGGGCCACCATGTTGCCTGCATACCACATCACACACAACCACTACCACAAATGCAACCTCCCAACAGATGAGTTCCACCACCCAGCAACAGAAATAACCACAAGAACAGTCATAATGACTGGCAAATGACCACCAGCACCCATGAGACTGACAAAGAGCCCATGAGAATGACAAATAGCGCCCATGAGAATGACACAACAACCAGCATCCATGAGAACGAGGAAGTGCTCATAAAAATGTTGGCCAGCACCCATGTGGGTGACAGCCAGTGCCCATGAGGATGACCTGTGGCCACAAGGATGATGAGTACCACCACAAAAACCAGACTGTGCACCTTGTGGCTCCAGAGGCATGAAGGAGCTGGGCCATGACATGAGGGACCAAAAAAGTAGACACTACAGTTCTGCTTCCTGAGCAATGGCAAGGATATGCTTGTTATATACAGATTCAAGATATTGGAAGTTTTCACAAAAAAGAGGTACTATTGTTGAAGGAGTGAAAAGGATGGACGATTTGCTATTGCTGTATAATTTGGTTTTGTTGCAAACTCCTTGAGGAATGCTTGAATGACCAATATCATTCTGCAATGATATCAATGATGAACAAGTGCTTAGGTGCTTACTTTACCCTCTCAGAAACTAATTGTACTGTATTTCTTCATCATTTTGTCCAGCTTGTGGAACATTGGGGGTTTCATGCAAGCACTGCACTTGTGCTCCTTCCAATCTGCTTTCTGGCATGCTGTACTAATTGGTTTATGCTTATCATAATGATCCTTTCATGTAACCTTTGTGAATACTTCAAGTCTAGTATTTGTAACTGCATTGTGATTCTGCATGTTAATTTTGCACATCCAACAAAATGAGGTGTTTGACCCTGGTATATTGCTGCTCAATCATGCAATCAATATATCATTACCAACCCTGATCATTTGTTTGTTCCATTTCTCTTTCAATAGTGACTGAGATTTTGATGCTTCATACTCTCCTACATACATTAACAAGGCCTTGGGGGTTCTCTGTATCCTGGTAAAAATGCCATTGAGTGAGCATCCCCATTGCAGTACATGAAGCCCTCAAAACTGTGTTTGTTGAAGTTTGATTTTGATATATCCAGAGTGGTCTTTTATGTGTTCCTGCTGTATATAAAGCCCCCAAATCCTTGTTTGTTGAAGTTTGCCTTTGATATATCCAGAGTGAACTTTTGTGTGCTGCCACTAAACCGCATTGTCATGAACTTATATGAAGCCATAACATTCTTGAGTTCATCCTCAGACTTGGAAAATGAATTCCCACAAACTTTTTTGATATTGAAGGTTTTCTCATCTTCAGTTTTGACCTCCATAGTTCAGGTGTACACATTGTGGTTGAGACAGAGGTGAACAGATTTGACACGTCAACATGAACTTGATTAGGCAACCATGAGAGTTTTGACTTGGACTCACATATTTAGTATTAGGGGGAGTCAGGGTGAATGATTCAGCAAACAGTTCACAAATGGTTCAAAAATGTTTGTTTCTCGTCTGAACCATGGGAACTTACTGAATCATTGCAGAATGTGAACCATCATTGAATGACAACAGCAACAGGCAACAACAATGATGGATCACAATGACAACAATGGACAACAACAGTTGACAATAGCATACCAACCTCCACCAACAAAATGATGAAGAAATACAGTATGCTGAGAGGGTAAAGTAAGCACCTTTATACTTTCTTTCTGGTCTTCCAGCTCCCCTTTCAAAGCACAATGGAACTTCACATCCTCATGAAATTTGGTCTTGATATCTGAAAAGTGGTTCCAATCACCCAATGGGCCAGCTTGCTGTATTCAAATGGAAAGACTGTCTGGGAGGAACATAGGTGCAACCTGACCATGCCAATACAGTGTGATGGCTGTACTCTTTAAATTCTGAGGTGCTCCAATCCATGAAGATGGATATGACCTTGATGGCAAAGTCTTCAAGGATGTTGGAGATGCTTTCAAGAGGTGCACTGAGTGTGACTATACAATATAGAAGACCTGAAAGACAATATCAAGGTGCTCACTTTACTGTCTCACTTTCTAATTGTTAGGATTGACATAGGACAATAATCAGTGGTTGTAATCATGGCATGATTACTACAGTTCCCATGCTGTATCACATATAGGATGCACTGGGTGAGAATATAACCTCTCAGTTATTCTGCCTTTTGGCTTAGGTGGTCCTTCAGGGACATCTTACAGTGGTATGCAGGACTGAAAACATACATAGGACCAAACTGGACTGAACCACAGTCCAGTCTTTTTCCAGTTGCAGTTGCCCACATTTGTGTTCAGTCCAGTTGCCAGTTGCCATGTTTTTGTAAATATTTAAAAATTAAAAAAGACTGGTTGAAACTGGTCTTTCACCCCATCACATGTTGGACCTTACTTGCAGACATGAGGTCAATCTTCAAATGCCAGGTTGTCATCTCATGAAGGGTTACACATGAGATAAAATGATTGGCCTGTGATGAATGTGATGGACATGTATTCTAGGGTAGTCCCCACTCAAAGCACAGAAGCAAGTGTTTTGAATGTACAGGATGTTTTTGTAAGTGCATTGACTACATCAATGTGGAAATGAACAGTTAACATTTCAAGAAAACAATCTTGTAAGTGACTCACCAGAAATCTCTCATAAAATCCAAAAGTGTGACAAAGTCATCAAGTGAAAGCAGGATCTTGTTGAGCATGTATAGAGTATTTCCTGTGATATCCCATTTCTCAACCAAGGTTACCAAAGTACTGCTGCATTTGTCAAGTTTTTTTATATCAAACTTTAAAGCAACAAGCAACTGTTGAAAAAAATGACTGCCATTAATGAGGATGGGAGGGAGGTTGAAGCACACCCTGCTCAAATTAATAACAACATTCAAAGAAAAATGGATGGGATGGTTAGTTGGCTTGAGTGAGACACCAGCAGCCCTCAAAGCACCCTCAGTCTCTATCAGTAGTCATTTGTATGGGACAACCTGATGTCAACATGAATTGGCTAGGTGGTGGGGAAAGATTCAAATGGTGGGTCTGGCACTCAAGGGCTGAAAATAATGGTACACAAGCAATAGGGTGGGGAAATTGATTGTCATCACTCATGAATATTTGAATTTGCAATAAATTTGCAAGGGCATTGCTAGCCATGTACTTGAGGCTCTGTGAAGAGGCAGTATGGTGAGGACAGTATGTTGTGTGGGGGAAGTGTAAGTCCCATGTCATGTTCAGCAGAAGTTCTCACCACACAGTGTTTCAAGTGAAGTCACCTCTGTCTCACACTTCCAGAGCCACTCAGACCAATGCTACTCAGTTCCGAAGCTTTTCCTTTGGTTTTGTATTGTATTTTGCACTTTGCTGACACTTCTACTGCATGGTAGGCATATCATCTTTGCACATCTGACAAATGAGGTGTTTGAGCCTAAATTTTATTTTTATGGGGTTCAACAATATTGGCCTCATAACAAAAGTAATATGTGATGTTGATGTGTCAACTAGTCAGATGAGTTACAATGGAGTCTAGATTTGCCAAACTGACATAAATCATGGTAAAGCATCTCCTGTTAACAATTATTGTCTTAAGTCCATAAAATCTGATCAACAGATGGCCATTTCTAGATTGTGTTCCCTTGCTCCAGTATTGCAATTCAGTTACCTGTGAATCCCTTCTAGTCATTTTCCCATCCATCTTTGTTCTCCAACTCCAAGTCAGCTTCCTCCTCTTCATCCTTGCCTTTACTACCCTCCCCCTCATCACTCTCATGTTTACCATGCTTTCTTTTAACTCCATGAACTACCTTTTTCTTGTTGGTTTTGCAACCAGCCTCTGAGGAATCCCAAGTTTTGAGTTCTTTGTTGATTCAGCGTTGAAGGGACTTGTCAAACTCAACACATTTCATTTTCCAGAGGTGAAGCACCTACAGAGAATCAATACCACAAGAATAGAAATGAGATAAAAACTCACTTCTTCACCACAGTCAAATGCTGCCTGTATATCACCAGCAGTCACTTTCCCCTTGTACTCTCCTGAATCCCAGACCTCCTCCAGCTGCTCTTCTGTTGGAGTGTGAATGTTATGCTTTTTTTGGGTGAAAATACATAAGCCAACACTGGACCCCCAGCCTTCTTGAAGATCATGTGAGCCCAAGTAGATTTGACCTAGAAGTGAATTTTGAAAGCATAGAAATATAATATAGTGTTACCAAACCTGTTCATTTGTTTGTTCATTACAGACTTGCTATTCAGTGGGCTGGTTATGATAGCAGTTAAAACAGATATCAGCTCAAATGCCTTCACAAAGGAGCAATGTGAGCTTTATTGACTTGACATGAAGGGGCTTTGCCACAATGAAATACTGTAAGTTCTATATTGGTTTTCTGTCTTCTAGCTAATGTGCTCAATGTATGACACAGGTTTGTAGATTCAATGTTAATAAAAAAAGTAGACACTACAGTTCTGCTTCTTGAGCAATGGCAAGGACATACTTGGCGTATACAGATTCAAGGTATTGGAAGTTTGAGGCACTATTGTTGAAGGAGTGAAAAGGATGGACAATTTGCTATTGCTGTATAATTTGGTTTGGTTGCAAACTCCTTGAGGAATGCTTGAATGACCAATATCATTCTGCAATGATATCAATGATGAACAAGTGCCTCCTTTTTGTGAAAACTTCCCATAGAACAGCCATCACATATTGTATAGTCACACTCAGTGCACCTCTTGAAAGCATCTCCAACATCCTTGAAGAGTTTGCCATCAAGGTCATATCCATCTTCATGTATTGGAGCACCTCAGAATTCAAAGAGTACAGCCATCACACTTTATTGGCATGGGAAGGTTGCACCTATGTTCCTCCCAGACAGCCTTTTCATTTGAATACAGCAAGCTGGCCCATTGGGTGATTGGAACCACTTTTCAGATATCAAGACCAAATTTCATGAGGATGTGAAGTTCCATTGTGCTTTGAAAGGGGAGCTGGAAGACCAGAAAGAAAGTATAAAGGTGCTTACTTTACCCTCTCAGTGTATATGTCTTTCTTCATCACTTTGTCCAGCTTGTGGAAAAATGGGGGTTTCCATCCAAGCACTGGACTTGTGCTCCTTCCAATCTGCTTTCTGGCATGCTATACTGATTGGTTTATGCTTATCATAATGATCCTTTTATGTAACCTTTGTTGATACTTCAGGTATAGTATTTCAATCAACTATAAATGTAACACTGTTGCCTTGTACAGGGGTGTGCCATTAGGCAGAGCAGGAACAGAGATTTGTTGGAGCAAGTAACAGTAACATTTTCCATGCCACCCTTTTATTGACTTGCTCAGCAACACAGATGAGTCAGTTTTATTAGCAGAAAGTACAATAGCTGTTTCTCACATTTGAAGGTGATGCAGAGTGAGACAGAGCCAAGGAGGTAACCATATAAAGACATTATTTGTCAGCTTATCCCCTTATATAGTAGAATGGGTCTAGTGGAGGAAAAGAATCTTACTATGGCTTACCCTATAAGGAAATTTTCCTTTTTGGGTTTATAAAATTCCATCATGGCTGCAGGTGACACCCTCAAGTCCTTCTGTTTGTCTCAGGGTGTCTTCCATGAACTTACAGTGGCATCTTGTATTGATAGCTTCATATCACAATTCACAAGCAACTTTTGTTGAATTTTTGTGGACAGCCATTTCAAAAGCCTGTTTCAACCTTTAGCTTTTACTTTTATGACATTGAGAGCTTTGAGCTAACCTAGACTTTGTATAATGGGAGTGCTGATTCAACCGAGACTTTGGGTAATAGAAATGCTCATTCCACCTAGATTTTGATGCATTTAAGTGCTGATTCAACCTGGATTTTGGTGTGTGAAAGTACTGATTCAATCTGAATTTGATCCATGTCCAAGTGTCCTTGTTGACACAGACACATTCTCTACCATATACCATGACCACTGCCTACAGAGGGATTCAGGCACTCACATATGAAGATGACCTCCCATGAACAAAAGACAAGATGAGCCCAAACCAATGTGAGTCCCCAACTCTGTCTCCCCCCTCATGGCCTCTGCTAAGACATGATATATCACTTCAGTCACCCACTGACAACTGACTATTAGTCTTGCAAACTCCATGAATACTACAGGACTAAATGTCAGGGTGTATATCTATATTGTATATATTCTGGGCTTGTATATCTCCACTTTTACCTAAATATATTTCTAGTGTGTCACACACCCCAAAATATATTTCCTATGGCTGGACCCTGAATTGTGACTGTCACAATGTAGAAATATATTTCTTGTCTGGGATGGACTTGGGATATATTTTGCAGCTAGGGTTGACTAAGGATATATTTTTTCAGCCACAAGGGGTGTCTGGGGTGCTATATTTAAGAGAAAAACTTGGGATTTTTTTAATATAGGGGATAGGGGATTTACCTATTATTTTGTAGGCAGAATACCCTCATTGAGATGTTTGTTGACAGATATTTACCAATGGGTCTGACCCATGTGTAGTATATGCATTGATGTGCACACTATTTCCTAATTGGGAAAAGTGTTACACTTTTTTCTGCCACACCTGATGTCAGGCACAGTGTGCATTTGGGTGGGTAACTGTTTCCCATGCTTTTTGGGCCAGAAGAGTTAATGGCTGGCATGGTGTGGTCATTGTTAGTGATGATGTGTGCACTATTTCCTAATTGGGCCATTTCCTAATTAAGAAAGGCATTACACTTTTTTCTGACACACATGATGTCAAGCACAGTGCAATAAAAAACTATGTAGTGTCCGCTTTATTCATTAGAAAATTGTGTAGTGTCCGACTTTTTCATAGAAAATTGTGTAGTGTCTGCTTTTTTCATTACAACACTTTGTAGTGTCCGCTTTTTTCATTACAACACTGTGTAGTGTCCACTTTATTCATTAGAAAACTGTATAGCGTCCGATTTTTTCAATAGAAATGTGTGCAGTGTCCAATTCTTTCATTACAAAACTTTGTTGTTTGCCTTTCTGATATCCTGCAGCTTCCTAGAAATATAGCTTAATGTTTCAGAGAAACTGACTCCAGCCAAAGACCTCTTCATCATTTAGAATCCATACACAAATTGTGTGTTGACTGACCACCAAGTGTTCTAATTGTTCCCTTGGCTAGCTTCAGTCATGTTGTCCAACATTCATTGCATCTCCCTGGGTAGTCATCTCTGTCCATCTTTGTCTGACCATACCCAACCTCAACATGATCTCCTTCAACAACATCTCAGTGATTGATTTGCCAGCTGTTGGGGCTACTGTCAGATGCTGTTCAAGGGGAAAGTTAGGACACTTGATGCTCAGTCAAAACACAACTGGTGTATGAATTCCAGATAATGAAGAGCTGTTTACTGGAGTGACAATATATCAGAAAGGCAGACCACAAAGGTTTCTGATGAAAAAAGTGAATACTGCAGAGTTTTTCTAATGAAAAAAGGGGATACTACACAGAATTGTAATAGAAAAAGCGGACACTACACAATTTTCTAATCAATAAAGGGGACACTACAAAGTGTTATAATGAAAAAAGCGGACACTACAAAGTGTTGTAATGAAAAAAGCAGACACTACACAATTTTCTAATCAATAAAGCGGACACTACACAATTTTCTAATGAATAAAGCAGACACTACAATGTGTTGTAATGAAAAAAGTGGACACTACACAATTTTCTAATCAATAAAGCGGACACTACAAGGTGTTGTAATGAAAAAAGCAGACACTACAAACCAAAGTGATATTATCTAATGAACACCCTGCTGCCATTAACTCTTCTGGCCCAAAAAGCGTGGGAAACAGTTCCCAACCTAATTGTGCACTGTGCTTGACATCATGTGTGTCAGAAAAAAGTGTAATGCCTTTCTTAATTAGGAAATGGCCCAATTAGGATCATCACTAACAATGAGGTCTTTATTGTCCCCCACTGATTCCTGCAGGATTCCTGAGGATTCCTGAGGATTACCAGGACTCTATATTGGCTGATGTGCAAGCCAATTTTTTGAGTCCTGTGGGGGTCCATTCCTGAGGACTGAAGACAGTCCTCAGGATTTTCGGACAGGACTAGTCCCAGGATTGATGCATGTGATGGGTCACATGACCTATGAGCATGTGCTTGGATACATGTGATGCATCCTGTGCACATGTTTGTTGATCATATGTGACATGTCACATCACCTCTCTCTTTCATCACCACCACGACGTCGCCCACCATGACCAGTGTTGTCGTTGACCCGGGTCTGACCCGGTCAGTCAAAGGGTCAGTCAAAAAAGGGGGGTCAAGTCAAGATCCTTGACTGACCTGGGTCAAGCGTTTTCGTGGGATAACGGAAAGCTCAGGCCGACAGGGTGCGCAGACTCGGATTTGGCATACGAAATGAGATTATCTTGTATTTATGAAGTAGCTACCTCAAAGTCAGTTACAGGATCTGTTTCTACACCATTATCTTCCCTCTGCTCCTCATCATACTGTGCAAGTTCCATCTCAAGATTCCTGACACCACCTTTCCAATAGAATGCCAACCCCTTGTCTGAGTTCCCAGCTGAAGCTTCTGGATATAAGAAGAGATCGGCAAGAGCTATCTTCCGAGCACGTCATGGTGGATTGGCTGAGAGAGTTGGGGGAGGTTGGAAAGTGATCGAGTCAAGGAGGGCATCTACATCGGGTATGTCAGCAATGTCAGCTTCAACGGCTTTCTCGACAATTGACTGAATATGATCAATGGGATCTTGTTCTTGCTGCTCCATGGGCGTCGCGGCCGTCTGAGGCTGAGACGTTGTTGGCTCGTCAATTGTTGACAGTGATCGCTTTTTCCGATTCAGTACCAGCCCTGCTTCGACGTGACTGCGATGAAGCGCCATCTTCAGCACGCCCGTCTTGTGAACCTTCTCCGCACCAAGCTTATTGCGTGTTTTTGTGTGTATATTGCCGAAAATGCTGAACGAACGCTCACAACTGGCAGAGTTTGCGATAACGCTCAGTGTGTGAATGGCGAGCTTGGTGAGGGCGTTGCGACCAGATGGTGCCTCATTATGAGGCTGTGTATCGACGCGCTCCCACACAAAGACAAGATCAAGGGGTTTTTTCTTTGTTAGATATGTCAGGATGGCATTGCTGAAAGATGAGACCAGCCACATACCTCTTGTGCGTGCATTTCCGCCATCTGATCTAGGTGCATCTCCCTATCAGAAAACTCCTCCATCCCCTTCGCATAGTCCGTGAATGCCTTCAACAAATCAAGGTCTGCCCTTCGTTTGAAGACCCGCTCAAAGACTCTCTCAACCACACGAAAGAGGGATGACTCCATAACGGCAGCGGGATGGAAAATGCGTTTCCGGATATATGGGTTCAAGAAGACGGCAACTATGAAGATGTCTTGATCTGCTTGGGCCCAGTGCTTTTCCAGGCTTGCGAGGATCTTCTCTCAAGTTGGACCATCAATTGAAGCATTTGTGTAGATGTGGAAGAGGTTCCCGAGGGTGAGAAGGACATGGTCGAGGCGGGTGTGAGAGGCCTGGGTGATATTTGCTGCAATTGCAAGGGGCTCGAGAATAGCCTGGATCCTGTTGTTGTGGGTGAGTTTGTTAATCTCATGGATGTTGCGATGACTTACTTTGCTAGATTAATCCAAAACTGCTCGTCAGCAACTATCTTGAGAATCGCATCGGCTACGGCTTTCGCCTTGTCGTCCTTGCCAGCACAGAGCAACAGAGTGTCATGGTGACGGTAGCTGCAAGATCGCACAGCCGGCTTGACTTTCAGCAGGCGTGAAATCGAGAGATAATGGGCTGTCCATCGGGTGATAACAGGTAGGATGAGGGCCCACCACTTTCCCTGGTACGTGAAGCGTTGTTCATCGTTAACAAGAGCTAATGCTGTGCTGTGAGCCGTGAACCACTTAATAACTTCGAGCGCATCCTTCATGCTTTTGAGGCACTCCTCCTTCAAACCCAAGAAGTCGCCGACAATCAGATTGATCTGATGTGCCCAGCAGACGATAACAAAAAGCCGCAGAAACATCACCCCCAAAAGTCTGCGCATTTTCTTACCATCTGGCCCATTATCAGTACACCACGCAATGATATCCACCCCAAAGTGCACCCTTATGAATTCGATATCCTCCAAAACAAGCTCAAGGAGCCGCTGCCCAGTTTTTGGCTGTCCAGTCATGTCATGTGTGCGAACAAGGTATGGCTATATTTATCAGAACGTAACAAATGCTCAACAATTAAACTAAGCATACCTCGTTTTCGACGCTCATCACAGTCGTCACAACAGAAGTTTTTGCGACGTTCTTCCACCCATCACACTGCCCTGTCGCTAACTTCCCTTCAACCTTGACTTTGATATTCTCCTCGACCTTTTTGACTTGTTCGTTTACGACTCGTCCACTAAGAATCCGACGATCGGGGATGACAACATCATTGGAAAGCCACTTTGAAGAAAAGAGTCAAGTTTGAGGATTGTTTGCTGCGTTCCACGGTACCCCACATGCGACGAACCAATCACAGAGATCACCCTCAAACTGTCCTTGGTTCCGGCTAGGGCTACTTTTCCTCTGCTTTGGTCCTCGAGCGTTCTCATTTTCTGTTGGGAGTGATTGTATCGTGCTTGAGAAGCTTGACTGTGGTGTAAGCAGTGCCGTTTTCTGTGTGTCGTCTTCTTTAACTTTTCGGTCGACTTCAATCTTCACTTCGGGTGGTATATTTTGACACCCTTTCAACAGGTGGGACTTGAGCACGTTCACCTTTCCTACCATAGGTTTGCAATATTTGCACCACGCGTTGAGATGTGTGTGGTTATTCTGGAAATGCGTCCTGTTTCCGTAGAAGTGGTTCCAGAGATGCGACTTTTGGGGCATAGCAACTTGAAAATTTCGGCACTCATGCCCTCTCACTTTTTAGCTATAATGTTCTAGGTACCCGTTTAAAGTCGAATGTCGTTGCTCGCTTGTCCCTACTACATTCCAATCTATTCCCCCTAGCCTAGTTGTATTATGTCATCATAGCCGTTCAACGTGACCTTGACCCACTTGACCTTTCTTGACTGACCAGTCAATTCTTGACTGACCCTTTGACTTGACCTTTATTTTGACGGGGTCAACCGGGTCAAGACAACACTGACCATGACCACCACACAACAGCCCACGACCACCACGACACCATCAATGACGACAACGAAATCGACGTCGACAACAACAACAACCCCCGGCGAGGTCGAGGCGACGAAAACGGACGACCACGTTGCCACGTCAACAGACGACTACGCCCACGGACAACGACACGTGCCCAATGGAACGACCACGTCACCAGACACGGAGGGGAGAGGGTGCCACGTCGCTATCAGCGACGTGGCAACCAAACGACGAACGACGACATCATCGTCGTTCGTCGTCATACAAAGGTTAGTGGCCCCACCCTCTTCCATCCCAACTCACCCCGTTAACGATCACCACGACACGACAACAATGAGGGCCCACAACGAGGAGTGCCCATCCCACCCCGTTGACGATCACCGTCACCCAACGACGATGACACGAAGACAACGAGCGCCCACGAATGACAACCGCCGCCCACGAAAAACGGTCCACGCACCCACCACCATCTGCTCTCCACCCTCCAACCACGACGCCGGCCATCGACAACGCACACCGCCCACCGACGAACCTCACCACACCCCAAACAACGCTTAGCACCCACAAAAAACCACCCAAAACACACGAACGGGACCACCGCCCATGCAAAACAGCTCGCGCACCCACCACCATCCACCCTCTACCCTCTGACCACGACGCCACCCATCAA